AAAAAAAAAAAAAAAAAAGTTTCATGTTAGTAATCTTTACTATACTTGATTATTAAACAAGTTACATTTGAAAATGCCTGACAAGCTAGCACTATAACAATGGCACATTTTAGATAATTAATAATGTTTACCTTATTCAGTTTTCCACGAATTATGTTACGTCAGTTCAGTTTCAGGAATCACGGAACAACAAAATAGCCTACCAATCCAACGACTAAGCCTTGCGTACACTGACTTCAGCTCGCTTACGAATCATCCAACTGGGAGGTGTTAACAAAGGTCACTCCCTTATTACCTTCTATCTTTCAACGTTAGTGTCACCACAAACGGATGTACCGATCAAGTAAAACGATTCAGCTGTTAAATGTTTCATAGTTGAAGTTATGCAAAAACGTTCTACACCAATAACATTTAATTGCAAGTTAACCAAACTTTCCTTCTGTTTAGCCTTTACCACTGAACTCACGTTTGTTATAGTTGTTTTTTTATGGTAAACAACATTCCCTTCGATCAATTACGGCGTAACTCTGTATGGCGAGAACGCCATCTAGCCATATCATTCAAAACTAAATTTAAAATGTGACAGAGATACTTACTCGTATCAGTTATACTTTGTTTGTTTGAATTTATGCACAAAGCTACACAATGGGCTATCTCTGCTCTACCCACCACGGGTATCGAAACCCGGTTTCTAGCATTGTAAGTCCAGACATGCCGCTGTGCCACTGGGGGGCATCAGTTATATATTTCAAAATAATACATATATATCTGTGTGTGTGTTTACACCTAACTAAAATTAATTTCATAATGCTTATCTGTTCCATTTTAAACGGAATCTTCAGTAAATATTGATTACCAAATTGCTATTTTTAATTTTTGCGAGTCAAATATGCTAAAAAAAGGATTTTTGACCTTAGCTCATTCCAGAAACAGATGAAATATACCAAGAAAATATAACTCATCGTTAGAAACTATTAGTTGAAAGAAATAAGTAGTTATATTTTGTCTTTTACAAATTATAAAACGCGATCAAACATTTTTGTTATATCGTTGCTAATAAATATGTTTTGAGGCATACTATTACCAGTTGACCTAAACTCGAAGGATATTAACAAATTACAATATATTTAGTAAAGAAATTACGGTTTTTCAAATTCTAGAATGTGTAAATACATTTCCCTGAGCATAAGGACACTACTTCAAGCTGTAAACTCTGTATCATCCGTCCCCCTGTGACTGAGTTGTAAAACTGAAGACTTATTACGCTAAGAATCGGATCTCGATACATGTAGTGGGTAGAGCACAAATACCCCATTGTATAGCTGTGTGTTTAACAATAAACAAACAAACAAAAAACTCCGTATCACTTAAAATTTAAGCAGTACTTTGTAGGTATTAGCAAAAATAATATTTTCCAATAACTCAATAGCGAATAAAACTAACCTTGAAATGACGTTTTGTGCACCCTTTTCTAAACTATTTAGACACCGAAATGCTTGTGGGTCTCTGACCTTGTTAATTATGGGGTCCTTAATAACATATAACTCTCTCTCCAGTGTCAAATCCAGACCTATCCACCGGGAGGAGGGGGACATGAAACGGGGGGTGGGGTGAATTAAAATGGAAAATATTGCACTTTAAATAAAATAATTGACTCCACAGATTTTCAGTGATTTATTTTATTAGTTTTGGCTATAATATTAAAATTAAATTTTAACGAATTTGCAAAAAAAGAAGAAAAAAAATTACCGAAATTGCGTTCAGACGATTCACTAGAGCTACTCTTAGAAAAACGAGCGCGTCTTAGTTTTTTCCGTGCATATAAGTTGATAACCTTTGATAACAAGGGGGATTTTTGCACAGGGAGAATTCCTCCTGAATTCAGTACTGTTTCTCTCTCTTTCACACACACACAACTAAACAAAAATATTATTATCATTGCATTTAATCCCACTAATTACTATTGGATCCCTTATGTATTCTACATAGAAAATTAGTGATTTCACCCAATTGTTTTGGTCAGTTTTATATGTATATATAAATTAAGTACTGTAACAAACACAAACACATAAAAGTATTTTATATAACCCACTGTGTGAGCTCCAACTGCAGTGAACGATATAAAACAAGTCGGTAATTTTAAGATTAATCTGTTTAACTTGTAGTTTACCTACGAGACTACAAGCAAAATATTATGGTTTATATATGGTATAAGTGTTAAACCAGACTACGTTATTTACAATTAGAATTACTCTGGTTATTTAAAGCAATTTTATAATTTCTGTGTAATGACGTTAAGTACTTTAGTTTAACTTTTTATATTAATATGAAGACTATTCAGCTAACTCCGAAACGTATGTCACCAACTGTGCTACACTTTTAGCACTGTATAAAGACTTAACTTATTCATTACGAACTATCATCATGAGAATTACGTTAATAAATCTTCAATTTTATTGTAGACCATTGCTAATCAGAAGGACTAGGCCAAGACTTTCAATGTCCAAAAAATGATGCAGTGAAGAAAATTGTCGCTTCTGTCATGTTCTTATGTTTCGTAGTAATGACAGAATTACAAATTTGAAATCTTTGGATTGTCACTATCCCCAAACAATCATCAATCCCCGCGTTGGCTAAGCGTTAAGCTTGAGGGTTTTATAATGCTAAAATTCGTGGTTCGATTTCTGCAATGTGCTCAGCCCAGATAGTTCATTACGCAACTTTGTGCTTAAACCAACAAACGAACACACATCATAGATATGTGACACATAGATAAGTTAATCAACCTAATGGTGTATACAATTCCTGTTTATAAAATTTAGTCTTAAAAAACAAACATAAATCATCTATATCAAAACGTTTTAAACAGGAAGTAAGTTATAAATAAAACTCTCAGCTTGGACCATTTGTTCATGACTTTAATAAATAAAAATCTCAACTTGGGCCATTTGTTCATGACTTTAATAAATAAAAATCTCAACTTGGGCCATTTGTTCATGACTTTAATAAATAAAAATCTCAACTTGGGCCATTTGTTCATGACTTTAATTAATAAAAATCTCAACTTGGGCCATTTGTTCATGACTTTAATACTTCTCAATGACTGATATTGCTAGATAAGAATACTATGTCTAAAATGAAAAATATGTCGTTGATATCATTAGTAGCTGATATGATCACCTAACTGTTAATTACTTACCAACTTTTTATCAGTAGAAAATAATTACTAGCTACTTTTTATCCCATCTTTCGGCTGCTAATCAACCTTCGTCTTCAGTCAAGTCCTGAGTCAGCCTTTTTTTGTGGTAGTAGTGAGCGGATTTTGATCCTAGTCTTGATAGAAAGGGTGGCGAGTTATCCACAAAACATCAATCTTTTTATCAAGAGGAACTAGGATCGAACCTGGTCACTATCAGCCGAAAAACCAGTCCTTCTCAGACTTTTCCTGAAAATGACATCAGATTAGTAGCCGAAGCGTAAAAATTTAAAATAAACTAACTAGTATTTAGTAATAAACAATTTTCAACTGATTGATAACACAAGCCTATGAATTTAAATTTCATAAAGATGTTTTAGTAACGGATTTTCCATAATTCAGCCACGCAGATTTCGAAAATAATATTTCTTTTTATCACGTAAGGAATTTTTACAAATCGAGAAGAAAAAACTAACATAGATCAAATTATTATTTCGTTTACCACAATAAACAAGTTTTATTATTATATTTGTTAACAAAAATACAAGAAAGCTGAAGAAAAGGGAAGAACATTGATATCAAACGAATATACATCCTCATTCATCCTGATTTTTACAGTGAAATCTACGTCTTTTAGACTCAAAATACGTGTTGTGGTCTTTCTTTTACGTATTGTATTATGACATTTTGTGAAAAATATGTACTCGATGTGGAAATATGGCTATCATTTTCGGATTCAGCGTACAGGAATTACTGTAGAACTTGTAAATATTTCAAGATAATAAAACCATCGCAAGCCTGTGTTATTAGAATTAGATGCTCGCATGGGGTTTATAGACAACAATAACCATGATAGCAATTGATATTAGATCAATTTTTGTTTTACATAATCCTTCGATTTTCATTTATATAATAACCTGAATTGTTGTATCAGTAATGTATTTTTGTTTTCTACAGCAAACAAAAGTGTTATATAATTTTCGTGCTAAGTCAGAATCTGAACAACTACTCCTCACATGTCTTCCTACCACCACGTTTGTCTTTAGTCAATTTACTCTCCATGCAGCACCAATCAACCGTGTAGAAATCTCTCACAACACACACACACATATCTCTTCTACTTCGAGTTATTGCTTCCTACTAAGCGGCGCTTCTCTAAAATACTTTCAACGGAAATTGAATTTTTTGCGTAAGCTTTACTCAAGTAAGCCTTAGCAGCGTAAAGATGGTAGGGTAGCCAATTACACGAGAGCGTTATCATTTTTTGATCAATATTTGAAATACATTTTGTAAATTGCTATGAATATCTTAAAATACTGAATGTTTTGAAAATAAACTGAAAAACAAACATAGTTTTATGTCAGTTTATAAACATAAAAAAGTTGGAACAGCCAGTGATTTCTGACAAGACGAAGACGAATGAAATAATATAATTTGTTAATACAACTTTTATGATATTAATTTTGAGAATTTTTTGTTTTAATTCGTTATATGATTTTAAAACAACTTGCAAATAAAATTGTTGTGTTTCAAAGATTTTATATGGAAACTGAAAATTATTTTTTCTATGTGTGGTTTTGTTTGTTGTTAAGTGCAAAGCTACACAATGGGCTATCTGTGCTCTGCCCATCACAGGTGTCGAAACCGAACTATTAGCTTCGTAAGCCTGCTGACTTACCGCTGAGTCACTGGGGAGCTTTTCTACATAAGACATAGGAATTGAAATTTTCAACCTAAACGGCATCATGTATGCACGTGGGCTAAACAGCCATTTCAGATACTAAGCCCTTATTTTATACTACTGACTAAAGTAAAGGTAGTCAGTCAGAAGCATCCATAACCATAAAGTCTTTGTTCGGTTTTTTAACCAAATATCAGGATTGACTGTCACATTTATAACGCGACCACACCTCGGGTCCTTCGATCCTAAGTCCTGCACGCTAACCAGTAGACCATGTCCACCCAAATATAATTAGGAAAACAACTTATCAGTGTGTTGTTAAATTAGTGTGGTGATGCAATCAAATTTTCTGAATAAATGCAAGTGTCTCAGCCCTAACCTTAAGTTGAATTAATAAAAACTAATTTGATATATAATAATTGTTTTCAAATTATATGACGTGTGGTATTTATTATATTTCACCATCACCAATTTAGTATTTACATATATACTTGTAGATAAGTTGAGAAGGTTAATCAGTAGTAGAATAAGTTATATTTGTATTAATATTTTATAGTTAAAATTATAACCTCTCACTCAGTTTATAGCATAAATGGGAATATTTACAGTCTTTGTTGGTCTTCCAAAAAGTACTTTCGGTTACTATTAACACAGGCCTGCGATGGTTTTATTGCCTTGAAATTTTTACATGTTCTACGGTAATTCTTGTACGCTGAATCCGAAAATGATATCCATTTTTCTCCATCACGTACAGAATTTTCACAAAACGTCATAACGCAATACATAAAAGAAAGACCCACAACACATAGTTTTGAGACTTTAAGACGTAGACTTAAAAAAAAAAGTAAAG